TGTGTGTGTGTGTGTGTGTGTGTGTGTGTGTGTGTGTGTATGTGTATGTAGGGTACATTACTGAGTGGCATAGTGTTTGGCTACCATGGGTGGGGCCCCAGATTCAACCCCTAGGGGCAGGGAATCTGGTTGCATCTGTAGGAAATTACTTAGCACACTTCAAACCCTACTTCTGAGAAATTTTTTTCTCAACAGTAAAAGAAATTGCACAAGAAAGCCTCAGCTCCTTATTTCCTACTCTATCTTTGTAGGAGTGGTGTGAATCAGGCAATGGTGGCCCCTGGATTGCAACCATGAGATGATGAAAACTAAAAGACAATATGATGGAAATTATGGAGTTACTGGAAGTCTGATGAACTGCTGATTTTCCAAACAAAACTTCCCAACTACTTACTTCTAAACTACCTCTTCAGAAGAAATTTTAAAAAGGCACACATTTTTAAGGTCTAAGCCATTATAACTTGGAATCATGTTCATTACACCAGAAAATGTCATAAATGCTATATTTGGCTAAACATCTCTTAAATGATTTTCTCTGAAATGTGTAGAAACACTGCTCCAAGATCCTACACGAGCTCTTCTTTTTCATCATGTGCCAGGCTTTTCATACATTACACATATCATACTTCACTTAATTCTCACAGCAATCCTGTGGGGTAGGCAATCATTCCTTTTTTTTCCAGAAAAATCTGAGCAGTTACTTGTCCAAAGTTGACAAGCTAGTACTGAGCAAATAGGATCACAACACCATTCTCCAAACCTCAGTCTATATTTTACCTACTAAACTCTACATTAGAGCATGAAGAGCGGGGCATGGTGGTACACGCCTTTAATCGCAGCACTCAGGAGGCAGAGGCGGGCAGATCTCTGTGAGTTTGAGGCCAGCCTAGTCTCCATGGTGAATCCAGGCCAGCTGTAGCTGCAGGGAGACCATCTTAAAACAGACCCCCCCCCGAAAAAAAAAGAGCATAAAGACAAAATTTTATATTTTTTGAGCCTACAAATTTTAAACTTTATACAAACACAATTTTTGTTCCTCATTATCAAAACATCTGCTAGAAGGATGGAGCCTAGCTAGTTTTCTATCATCTGCAGAGTCTTCTGATACCCAGGAAAAGGAAGATACATTATTTTTTTGCTGTGTTCTTTTAACCTAAAAGTGATTCTATATTGTTTACAACTCTAGACTCTAAAACTTTAAATGAGAAGATAGTACTGATGATCTTACTAGCAGAACTCATGCTATAAAAGCAGTTCGCTCATAATTCCACTACTATTAAGTGCTAGTATTAGAGCGAATCCCAAGATTTTAAGATTGCGTAACAGGTATCTTTCCTAATACCACTGAGTGATAATGAGCATGTACTCATTATATTTAAAATAGACTATATTTTTCTTAAATCTAGAAAGGATAAAAAGTCTACAGAAGAAAGTAGAATTCATCTACAGTCCTATCATCTAGGGACAATCACTGTTTAAATTTTGGTTTGGTTCCCTCCCTTCCCCATTTTTCTTATGCATAAATATTTTATTTGGATATTTGTGTTTTTTCCTTTGTTTTCCATTTTATCCAGAAATTTCCTCCATGGCATTCATTATTCTTATTTTAAAAAATATTTATTATTTTTATTCTATGTGTATGTATTGCCTGCATGTAAGTAAGTGCACCTGTGTCGTGCAATGCCCACAGTGGACATAAGAGACCATCAGATCCCCTGGAACTGGAATTACGGACAGTTAGCTGTCATGTGGGTGCTGGGATTCGAACCAGGGTCTTTTGCAAGGACAGCCAGTGTTCTTAACCACTGAGCCATCTCTTGAGCCCCTCATTATTCTTTTTTAATAAACACAGTCACTTCAGAAGCATCCTATGAATAGATTAGCATCCATTGCATCCTACACAGGTAATAACCTAATGTTTTTGTTTTGTTTTCCTTTTGAGCATACATAATGCTGGCATGAATATCCCTTTTGTTACACTTTAGCTACTTGTTAGTATTTTCTCTGTATGGATTCTTAGGAGTAGAATTAAGCTTAATGATACTAAAAACAAAACCCTTTTCAGAAAAGTAGTAGATAGCCTGATTGCCAACTTTTTTTTTTTTTTTTTTTTTTTTTGAGAAACGGGGTCCCCTTTTTGAACCACGGTTGGCTGTCTTTTTTTTTTTTTTTTTTTTTTTGAGAGACAGGGTCCCGCTATGTAGCACTGGCTGGTCTGGAATGCTCTGTGAGTTCCAAGCTAGGCTGGAACCCAGAAATCTACCTACCTCTGCCTCCCAAGTGCTGGGATTAAAGCTTGTGCCACCATGCCCAGTCCTCCATCAATGTTATTTATGAAGTTTCTCTCTCTTATGTTTTTTCTGATGTTGAATAAACTGTGAGCTATAACAATAGGCTTTCCCATACTTACTATATTTATAGGGTTTCTCTATAGTATGGGTTCTCAAATGTAGAATAACTTGAGAAGTCTGCCTAAAGGTTTTCCCACGTTCATTACATTTATAAGGTTTCTCTCCAGTGTGAATTCTCGGGTGACCAATAATTTTTCAGTTAGAAGTAAATGCTTTTCCACACTCATTACATTTGTAAAAATGAAGTCCCTGGTGTTCACTAAGATTCTTCCTTAAAATGAAAGCTTTTCTACTCATCACATTCATAGGGCTTCTCCCCAGTGTGAATCCTCTGATGGTCCATAATCTTTGTATTAGAACTACATGTTTTCCCACACTATTTACACTTTGCCTTTGTGCATTCTCTGATGTTGAGTAAGGTTTGAACTCCGGCTAAATGTTTTCCCACACTCAATACAAGTGTAAGGCTTCTCCCCAGTATGAACTCTGTGATGAGAAATAAGTCCTGAACTCTGACTAAAGGTTTTCCCACATTCTTTACATCTGTACATTTTCTCTCCACTGTGGATTCCCTGGTGCCGAATGAGATGTGACTTGTAACTGAAAGATTTCCCACACTCGCTACATGTATAGGGCTTCAGTCCAGTGTGGATTCTCCCATGAACCACAAGGTTGGAGCTATGACTGAAGGCCTTCCCACACTCCTTACACTTATAGGGCTTCTCTCCTGTGTGGATTTGCTCATGCACAGTGAGGGTGGCACTCTGACTAAAGGTTTTCCCACACTCAGTGCACACATACTGTCTCTCTTCTGCCTGAACACTCTCATTTGTTGCAGGGTTACAGTACTGACTATCATCTTTTTCACATTCTTGGTCATTCCCTTCTATGAATATTTTACTGTCTTCAAATATCTTATGTTTGAAGTTTCTCATGTTTTTCCTCATCTTCTTCTGATGGGGGCATTCCAGTGGCTTCTCTTTTCTTTCAGAGGGACTTTTGAAACTTTTACTTCCTTGGCAGCATTTATGTATTGTTCTCTTGAAAGTACAATGTGATTCTGATTTTTCAGGAATGATGCTTTGGAATCAACACCTCCTCAGTCCATTTCACCACGTGATGGGAAAAAAGATAAATTCCAAGTGTCACATTTTCTTTGTATTAGGGTAAGGATTATCCAAGGACAATGAGATGTGGTAGATTGTAGGCTTTCACATGGAAGGGTGACGTTCAAAGGTAGAGAACTGTATAAAAAGTAGAGAAAAATGAAGTTAGACAAAAGGCAATAAATACAGGGGCCCAGCAGGTCCAGTCTCAGAATAAGCAAAGAATAGTATAAAATCTACTCTGATTTCTTCCTGCTCAGTTTCCCAAACAGGAGCTACAAAAGTCTGAATGGCAGGTTCAACTATAATCTGGTACTGAGAGAAAGTATACTGAATGATCCTTAGGTCAAAGAAGGAAAGAGAGGGGCAAGAGGCATCTTGGTAGGATCCTGAGCTCATGGCCCTTTGGATGCTGCTTTCTATCCTAATTACACAGGAAGAAGGAAGTGGAGGAACCCCAGTGGGAAGCCAAGAGACTGGCATGGCAAGAGAAAGCTGATGGTTCTTTGTGCTTTCTTTTCAATTTCTTAATCTTCTTCGAAACTTCTTCATATATTTCTTAATAAGTACTTGAAGCCCTATTTGGTACAAATCACAATTCTGAGACTAACAGGGAAAACTTGTTCCCTGTTATAATAATGTAGAGAAGCATTATTATAAATTAAATGTTGGGTCTTCCTGAAATTCTTGTTGTCTGCTTATCCCAATGTGATTCTATTTGGAGATGAGGCCTCTTAGGAGGAGATTAAGGTTAAATAAAGTCATATGTATGGGCCAGATTTAAAATGATCAGTGTTCTTATAATAAACACAAGAGAGTTGGGGCTGGAGAGATGGCTCAGCAGTTAAGAACACTGACTATTCTTGCAGAAGACCCAGGTTCGAATCCCAGCACCCACATGGCAGCTAACAACTGTCTGTAACTCCAGTTCCAGGGGATCTGACAGCCTCTTCTGTCCTCCAAGGGCACTGCACAACATGAGCGCATTTACCTACATGCAGGCAGTAACGCTTACGCATTAAGGCAGGGCATGGTGGCACAAGCCTTTAATCCCAGCACTAAGAAGGCAGAGGCAGGCAGATCTCCGTGAGTTTGAGTCCAGCCTGGTCTACATAGCAAGTTCCAGGCCAGCTGGGGGCTACAAGGAGACCTGTCTCAAAAAGACCAAAAATAAACAAATAAATAAATAAAATAGTTAAAAAATAATAATTTTTTTTAATGCAGAGCTTGGTTGAGCCTCAGAGAAGTAGTAAATGTTTTCTCAAAAGGAAAGTAGCACAGGGAAGATGTGCTCATAAGTGGGTAATTACATAGTATATAAGATTCAGCCTGGCAGGGATTTTGTCCTATTTGTTCATCACTGTATTTGTAGCATCTACAACAGTTCCAGGTACTTAGAAAAATATCCCCTGAAGAATCTATCCAGAACACTGAAATGATAAGATACATAGATATGTATAAATACATATGTAATTTGATTGTCAATGGGAAATACGTTCCGATGAAAGTGACCTGACCTTTAATTTTTCTTTTACTATTCTACAGTCCTTACTCCTTCTTTCTGATTTGCTGTTCTTCCCTTTTAATATGTTCTTTCTTGTCAAGGTAGTTCTTCAGGCATTAGCATTCATTTCTCCTAATTCCCTTTCTCTGTCATCTCTCAAAACTGTCATGCTTCTGTCAGCTTTATGAAGTAGGAAGCAGAGGAAACAGGCAGCTGTGGTATAGTCCACAGGATATAAACTGAGGGGAATGAAAAGGAAGGAATCCAAGAGATGCTGCCTTGCGTAGCCATGTATCCTGGCTTTCCAAGAACAGTGCTGGTTTATGCTTGTTCTCACAACCTCATATCTAACACACAAAGTATCACAGAGTATCCTTATTTAAGCATAAAACTTTGGATCACTCTATATAAAAGTGAAATTATGAAAATAATGCTCTAAATCTCATTTCCTTTCTTTTATACCACCACTGCTGACCCTGTAATACACATGTGATTTGATTGCCAATGGGAAATAAGTTCCGATGAAAGAATGAACTGACCTTTAGATAGAAGAAAGGAAATGAGTTAGGAGAAAATTCTACAAATACAGTATGGACAAGCACTGGAGAGCCTACCACTTTGTAGGTGCCTAATAAATGCTTGTTGCATAAATGAACAGTGAACAAGCTAGCTAAATCCTCTTCTAAGAATGTGACAGGACAGAGAACAATGAAATCCAGTTATTCTAAGAATGTAGCCAGACATATCATACTGGATACACAGATACAACCCCAAGTCATTAGATTCACACCACAGCAGCAACACCAGTGATGTCACTAAGCAAGATGGGACATGGAAACACACTCTAGATAAGGGAAGGAAGGACAGTTATGAATGAGCATTTGAGAAGGATAAGACAGAAAGGACAGAGGAAGTAATGAAAACATAAAATTTACTTACACAGGGATGTGGTTTAGAAGGGACAGGTAGGGATAATGAAATGTACAGGTGTTCACTGTGAAAAGGACCACGGTATTTCTATATAACCCACGGAGGAAGTGAGACTAAACATGAGATCAGCAAGGACTAGTTTGAAGATCTGACCAAAAGGAAATCTAACTATTGCCACCTTATGCTTGGTTGGCTAGGGATACCCTCAGTACCATGGAAGAATTCCCAGGCATTCTGAGGTAGGGTCTTGGTTGGTGAAGCAAGAGAACGATGCAACTGTGGGGGCAGTAGGGCACTGGGCCATCTAGGCAGCTATGCCCCAAAGCACAAACTCAGGCAAGCACTGAAAAGTGTGAGAGCAAGAGTGACAGGCTTTACCCAGGGATGTTGTATTATTCCTTTACTTTACCACATTCATCTACCTGTTTGGATCCCTCTGAGCAATGGTCATGTGGTTTGTGGCTATTAACTTCAGTACAGTGAGGAATAAGAAGAAATATCTAAAAATAAATTCAAGAGACAAATAATTGAAATGTGTAAACTGAAAACAAACAAAACCCCAAAACAAACAATAGCGGGGCATGGCGGCATACACCTTTAATCTCAGCAATTGGGAGGCAGAGGCAGGCAGATCTCTGTGAGTTCGAGGCGAGCCTGATCTACATAGTGAGTTCCATGCCAGCTGGGGCTGGAGGGAGACAAAACAAAACAAAACCCCACCAAACAAAAAACAAAACCAAAGAACAACAAAAATACATCAAGGGACTACTTGACCTCAGAGAGAGAGACAGGCCTTACTTCAAGCATAAAACAAAGGCTTGTAGCATATCAGAAAGAAATTATATATATGACTACATAAAATTTCCTGTGTTTAAAAAAACAAGGAAAGTTAAATATCAACTAGCAATTGCCTTGTAATACAACTGCTGGCATGCATGTCTTTACATGTCCTCACAGCAGTCTTTAAGCTTCAAGGCCCTAAAGAACAGGGCCCATTACACTTGTCTGTGGCTATTACACAGTGCCTGAGACAAAGAGAGCTTAGTAAATATTATTTGCAATGTTAAATTAAACAGGTTCAAGATTCTATCTAATATAAGAGGTGCACTTAAAATGGTATAAAGTGAGTTCACAGCACATTACCACCATCATCCTACCTCTACCTGGTCATCCTTTTAAGACTCCATATTCTAAATAAACAGTGCATTTGTATGCTTAGGAACTCTATCTCAGTATGACCATCTAAGAGTTGACATTCCCTGAGAAACTGGCCCATTCCAGTATTCAGTGGCTCTCAGAATGTTAGAACTAGAGGGACATGACATGTCAGGCCTTCTGGGATTTTTTTTTCTGTTTTTTTTTTGGGGGGGCGGTTGTTGTTGTTGTTGTTTTGAGACAGGGTCTCACTATGTAGCCCAGGCTTGCCCCCAACTCATGGCAATTCCAAGTGCTGGTCATTGCAAACATGCACTACCACACCTGACTCCCAAGTCTTATATTAAAATGAACAGATAGGGAAACTGTAACTTACAGGAGAGCTGGGATTCAAATCCAAGTCTCATGACACCCAAGTTTGGGTTCCACTATATCATTCTTTCCCATCATCCCCAAACTCTACTCCTTGAAGTCCAGAGAAGCCCTGCCCATTTCTTTACACTCTGGTTGTCAGTTGCTCAGAAGAGACTAACTCACCCTTATTCTTATGTACAGTAGCTTTGCGCTAAAGGATCTGCCCAGCATAGAGCTTGCTTGATGTCTTCCTTGGGTTCAGTGTGGAAGTTCTTAATGAGGCCTTCAATCACTGTAAACAGATATGATGATGGAGTTCTTGGAAATCTCAACTCTAAGTGTACACTCAGGGCAGCATCTTTCCTGTAGAACTGTGAACAGTCATTACAATCATTCCCATTATCAAGATGAGTAAATGTAGTTCCCAGGTATTGGACAACTTGCCCTAGATCATTTAACTAGTGAGTGGCAAGCTTCTGTGTCTGAAAGAAACCCTCATTTTAACACATTTAACTCTCTCTTTTTCACCTATTCTGTTGATATCTAAGGCTCTCCAAAGTCTCCTCTACATGGAAAATGAACTCCAACTGGGAATTCCTTGCAGTCTAGCTTTCCATAGATATTTTGCAACATGTGAAGAACAGGCAACTTAGCTGAATTAAATGCATTTAAATAGACTAAGCTATGGTGGAGGAGATGGCTCTGCAGGTAAAAGTGCTTGTCAAGCAAGCCTGGAACCCACCTAAAGGAGAGAACCAACTCCATAAAACTGTGCTCTGACCTACACATACATGCTATGACACATGCTTGCAATATTTTTTTTTTTTAAGAGACAGGAGAAAGCCTGGCATTGTGGCGCATGCCTTTAATCCCAGCACTTGGGAGGCAGAGGCAAGCAGATCTCTGTGAGTTCAAGGAGTTCAGGGTCAGCCTGGTCTACACAGTGAGTTCCAGGCCTGGGGCTACAGAGAGACCCTGTCTCAAAAAGACCAGAGAGAGAGAGAGAGCGAGAGCGAGAGCGAGAGAGAGAGCGAGAGAGAGAGAGAGAGAGAGAGAGAAGGGATGGGGAGATGGCTGGGTGGTAAAGCACTTACGATCTCCTCCCAAGGTGGAAGGAGTACACCAGTTCCCAAAGTTGTCCTCTTACCTCCACATGTGGGTTGTGGCATATGTGTCACTTCTTACACACATTACACAATAATAAAATAAGTTTAAGAAGAGACTGCTTGGCATGGTGTTGCACGCCTTTAATTCCAGCACTTGGGAGGCAGAGGCAGGTGGATCTCTGTGAGTTCCAGGCCAGTCTAGTCTACATAGCAAGTTCCAGGCCAGCTGGAGCTACAAGGAGACCCTGTCTCAAAAAGACCATAAATAAATAAATAAATAAATAAATAAATAAATAAATAAATAACGGAAGCTGATAGACTAGTATGATAAATATACATAAACCTA